CCCCTGCTAGGTTACAGGGCGAAGCGACCCACCCCGGCTTCGGCCAGCATCATCTGAGTACCAGATCCCAACAGACTCTAGAGTGCCTTCCACCCTCGACAACTCCCCAGAACTCCCTCCAGGCCTGCCCTCGTACAGCTCGAGTTACAGGGCTGCGCGACCAAACCCCGGCACCAACTAGCGTCGTTCCAGCCTCGTCCATTCGTGAGCCTCTGGGATCAAAGGCGTCAGCAGGTGTCAGACTGACCACCGATCATCCCGGTGGCAGTGGTTCCAGCACCTCCTGGTCCTGCAAGCTCTGATTGCAGCCGTTCATCAAACCCATCAACCCAACTCCGGCAGGACTTACCGTGATGAAGCCACCATCTCCACCACTGTTCTGCCCTGATTCCGTCCTACTGACTAGCCCCCTTCGGCACAGAACGCGTTATACCCGACCATGCTTCCTTCACATCCTTCAAACCAACACTACCCTCTGCAACCAGTACCAAACTTAAAAGATTTATAGAGAATTTAGAAAACACAAAAAACAGTCTTATTCACTCTCAACAGAAGCATAATCCCACTAAAATACCCTCCACCCTTGAACACACGCCAGATCTCCCTACTAGGCCTGCCCCCACTCGAGTTACAGGCCGCGTGACCAAACCCCAGCACCAACTAGCATTGACCCGGCCTTGTCCATAAGCTCCCCAGCAGACTCCCCAGATCTCCCTGCACTAGGCCTGCCCCCGTACAGCTCGCGTTACATGGCTGCGCGACCAACCCCCAGCACCAGCTAGTGTCATTCTGGCCTCGTCCATCTGCAATCTTCAAGGACCAAGAGCATCAACGGGCGTTAGGAAGAATTTTGGAAGAATTTTTTTGCCCAATATCCAGGGTTGCATCCCTGCCGACCACCGACCCCGACCGCCGACCGTATTGCAGCCAACCAGTAGGGCCGACCAGTCGGCAGTCTGCCGACCAGTCAGAAAACAACCATCCACTGATTTTTTTTCAAATCTGAGTTGGGGACTGTACTGCGCTTGCCGACTACAGCCCAAATCCGCTGAGAAACTTTTGGGGATGGGGGGGAGTGTGGGGAGGGTGGGGTTGGTGTATAGGGGGGGTATAGGGGAGGTATAGGGGGGGTATTGGGGGGGGTAATAAGGGTGTTGGGAGCGATTTGGGGGTGTTGGGGGGGGGTATGGGGGTATTGGGGGCCGCTATGGGGGTGTTGGTGGTATTATTAGGGGATCTGGACCCAAATATATATATATATATATAATATATATAATACATATATATAATATATATACCCCTCGTTTGTTGTCCTCTTCTCTCTCTCTGCCTACGGTTTACCGCGCAGTTCTGTTTGTGACGATATATATAATTATTTTATTTTATTTTTTGCCGTGTGCCAACGATCCCCGACCGGTAGGTGCCGACCAGCCGATCGGTCGGCGGATCGGCAGCCGACCAGTCAAGGGCCGCCGACCGTCGGGGGGTGCAGCACTGTCAATATCAGAATTGGATTCGAATTTCAAGCATCAAGATATCAAGAACATACTACTTCGGAATTATCGATTTGAGGATTACCGATCAGGAAATCAGAGATTTGGAATTTCAAATCAAGAGCCAAGGAATATCATTGAGTGAAGTCAGAGATTCTAATTCAAGGATCAGGAACATTCTACTTAGGTATTGAAATTTCGAATCTAAAAACTGGAAAAACAGGGAAGTACTATTGAAGGAAATTTGAAGTTGATCCGGAATTTGTCAATCAAGAGTTTCAAGAATTTCCTAAACGAGACTTTAACAGAAAATTCCAGATGAGAAAGTGACAATCAAGCTACTCAAGCCTATAGACTAATCATCATCAAGGAGAAGATGAGAATCATGATCTAATCCAGAGAATATTTTGAGATAGTAAGGCGACGAATACTGCCTATCAAACGGATCTTGACCCTGTCCTAATTAGCCGCAAGAAAAAAGCATCATCACCTCTTCAAGCTGTGGATGGCTGGCCCCCAGGTTCACGGACCACAAACGAACAAGCAGAGAATCTTTTGAGATAGTAAGGCTAGGACTACTGCCTATCATACGGATCTTCACCCTGTCCTAATTAGCCGCGAGAAACAAGCATCATCACCTCTTCAGGCCGTAGATGGGCGGGTCCCAGGTTCACAGAGCAAAAACAAACAAACAAACAAACAAACAAACAAACTCCAAGTGTACAATACTGACCGCCGCTCAGCCAAGATCCTGACAACGTCCATCGCTTCCGCTAACTGGGCTAATTCTTCAGGATATCTGCTGGCACAATCGTCATCTTCAACTTCATCGCCCTGGCCGCCGCATGATGCAGCTCTCCTCTTTCCGCCCAAACTCACCTCCCACCACCTTCGTGAGAGAGGAACAACACGCCCCCCGCTGGCTGCTGTGCTAGTCAAACACTAGCGACAACTCGTTCGCCAGCATACGAAGGTACTAACTGGGCACCCCCCACCTCGAAACATCAAGCGGAGGGCGTCATAGTGCATCCTCGCCGAGCCCTCCGATGAGTTCCATGAAGGGTTCAAGCAATGAAAGGCGCTGCATAAGCCACTCATAACGAGAAAAGGGAGGGGCGGAAGGGGAGGGATTACAAAAAAGGCACGCACCACGAACCAAACTTGCTCCTGCTGCTGATGTCATAGTATGCAAGAGAAACGTTCATCGCCACCAGTCACACCGTTGAGAAGAGGGCAACTCACCCTGCCAGATGCCGTACATACCTCACCATCCGTATAGCAACCAAATCCTGCAACTCACCTTCTCCAGATAGCACCTACCCCAAGTTCCCATGCCACATCGTACCGTCGTACCTTCGCGCCTGGCGCCGCCAACCAGCCCAAGCCCTGCACTGCGTTCCGTGTTCGCGCACCCCGGGGCGCAGCGCTCCCGGTAGCGCTGCGCCCCCATTTAATCCCTTTCTAGAGCACGTGCTCCTAATACCCGCTGCCCACACAATAGCACCTATTGGCCGCACCCAGGGGCCGCGGCGCGCCTCATGACTTGTAAGATTGAAAGCAGCAAGTTGATTATTAGAACCCAAGTATGGCAACAGATCTTAGAAATTTCGACAGAAATTTGAACCCAAGTATGGCAACAGAAACGAGGAGTGTGGTTGGGATGGTTAATTATTTGTCGTGGCATGCAACACAGAGTTATAATTAACAATCATCTTCCACGTTCTTCCACAAAGAACCAGATGAGTCATCCACCTACCCTAGAGAAAGGAGGAATTGTGGTTGGGTTGGTGAATTATTTGTTGTGCATGAGACACAGAGGCATGATAAACAATCAACTTCACCTTTTGGCCTTTCCAATCAACTCTGGTGTTTTTTTTTCAGTAGAGGTTAGAGTAGACCTCTCTCTCACATCGTATAGACTCTGTAACGACTGACTCAAGTCTCACTCTCCATGTCCCCTTCCACTTCCTCATCCATCGCCTCCTCTTTGTCCACCCTCCTTGACACCCGCCACAAGGGTTGTGGCACGGGGGTTCCACTGCTTCGAGTGCACTAGAAAATTTTAAGTAGGAACACCTCAGCAGAGGATGACAACCAGGAATGTTCAGCATTCTGTCCCAACACCCCATTTTGGCTGCGTGGTAACTGCACCTGGCCATCTGCCAAGGTCCTCGGGTCGAATCTCCAACATGGAGGAGAGCACACAGCAGGAAGAGGGGAAGGTTGCCCACTACTTGTGTATGGTGAGACACATACAAAATAGGTGTGAATCCGTGAGAAGCTTTCCCATCGAAAGAAATGATCACATTGTATGATGGATTCTTCACCAATCTGCAGCGCAAACAATAACTGTAAACTTTAGATCAGCACAAAGACCTTAAGTTGTATGCTGACTATCGACAATAGATGCTACTTGATGTTTCAAACCGGAAGTGTTATTGTGGGTTGGTGTCAGACCATCAACATTGGAGGGCGGCAAGGCCGAATGACTCTATATCGCCAATTATACTACTGTTGATGGTACGAGACCAGAAGTGCTTCTACAATAGCCACATCATCACTGCCCACAAAGATCTCGTACTGTCGTACATGCAAATGCTAGGCAAAGCATGATCAGCATGTAGGTGGGCAGGAGAGGCAGAGGATGGGTTGTAACCCATCTTCACATACCAGAAGCTCCTCATCGCTGCTTATACAACTACCCCATTTTTTAGTCTCGCCACCAAGGATCCAGGTTCAAGGGATGACCTTCAGGAAGCATCATCCAGACCCGTTTTGGTATATTGGCTGTGCCCCAAAGAAAAGAAGGGAGGCCAAACCCAACATGCAGGCTTCGTGGCAGGGAATGGCAGTCAGGGCCAGACTTTGTCTGCAGACCTGCAACATAGCGGCTTCTGAGTCAACTGGATAGCCAGGATGAATTCATGACCTAGCAGGTGGAGCAGTGGTCTAAACCACAACACCATTTTTCCGACCACAATACTTACCACAGGGACTCGGACTGTTTGCTTGGTTCGCACATGGCCAATCTGGCAACTGCAGTTTTTTTCTGCCAACTGCGGAGGGAGAGGGGGTTAACTGGGGCTGAAAAGTGGGGGTCTCTGTTAACCACTTATGGCAGAGGGTGGTCGTGAAAATGGAGTGGTGGTTCAAAAAGTGCTGTGCAAGACATGCAGTGAGAAACATGGCAGTTTCTCCTCATTCTCCAGCCTTGCCCTTGTACACCAGGTTGGGAGTCACTTACATTGACGAGGTCACAAAACGATGGCTGACATGGCAAGTGAAGAAGAGAATGAATACATAGTACATACACTGAGACCCCCGAGGTTCCATCAAACAAGCCTGCCCTGCTGCTTAGATGTTCCTATTCCTCCTGCGGTCACTCCTGCTTTGCATTATCCTCAGAAACAAGAAAATGATCAGCATTCACTCCATTGATGAAATCATTAAAATTAATTTGTGGCAACGAAAGCACAGGTCTAAGAGCAGGAAAAGGAGGAAGAGCACCTGAGGGAAAACATCTGTCTCTCCCAATCGCACACACTCCCACTTGACTCAAGTCCGCGATGCATCCGGCAGTCATTCAACAAGAACATGGCCTCCACAAAATGATTGTATGCTAGCAACGGATTATTCACTGCGCAGACATTTAACACCAACAAAAGCACCCCCAAAATCAGACCCCTGCAACACAGACAAAATGTCACTTGCACCTCCAAAATCAGACCCCTATCAGCACGTTATCATAGCAAGCCGCCTCAGAGCATACAAAAACACACGAATTCAAAGAAGATCATCTGCCGGAAGTTACGTTTCCAGATCCATCATGTTGGAGGTGCACAATGAACTACAAGAACTTAAAGCCATGCTGAGAGCAACCCCAAGCACTGAATGGCCTTAAAAAAAGAATTCTCCGGAATTGTTCTGTTTGAGGAAGATGAACATAGTTAGCTGAAACATCCATAAGTTATTGAATTTCTCATTCATTCTTACATATGCAGCACCCAAGTCCAGAGCATCCGTGTGCACAAAATATTAAATTCTTACAAGTTACAACAATGAAATCACTAAGGCTCAGAATTTCATGCGGCTGCAAGCAGCTCTCTTTTTTTGAAGCTTGATGGTGAGGATTAAGACCAGGAAGCAACTGCATCCACTGTTTCCCCCTAGGAAAAGGGTGGAAGTGACGAGGGGAGGGGAGG